CCTCATTTCACCCACCTCGGAAGGATGGAAGGCTGAGTCAACCCTGAGCCAGTGAGATTTGAACAGCTGAACTGCAGAACTGCAGAACTGCAGTCAGCTGAAGTAGCCTGCAGTGCTGCATTTAACCACTGCGCCACCTCGGCTCTTTCTACTGACCATGTCCTAAGTACATATGTCAAATCAGAGACTCGGTACACGATGCTTCATAAGACTTGCTGGTAGATGTCAGCAATTTCTATCTGTTAATGTAAATTGCCCATCGAGTGCTTTTTTGGTCTGCTGTAAATAATAGATGCTTGTTATTTCTTTATTTCAGCCTGAGCCTTAGCTCCTCCCCATTAGCCATGCGGCTGCCAATTCACTGTGTCTCTGTTACCAAAGAGTTCAGCCACATTCTGGTGGGCCTCGATGATGGCAAGTTGATTATCATTGGCGTCGGAAAGCCAGCAGAGGTAAAACCTACCATCAAGAACTTTATCTACCGAACAATGGGCAGCTCATTTATTTCTGCTTTCCGGCTGAGCAAGCGATCGCTTCTGTGGCAGGGCAAACTTCAAAGCAAATTTGAGCTTTCAAAGGGGAAGAAATAATTCCCAAGACATTCTTAGAGATTCTTTAACACGTCCTTCTCTGCTTGGAAAAAAAAAGAGAGAGAGAGAGAGAGAGAGAATGTAGAAGGGGAACCATAGGGAAAAGGAGATATGCTGAACTAACATACAGATTTTATTGACAACCTGAATGCGCTAATAGTGCTTTCTAACGGGACTCAACGTGCTTAATGCCACCTGCCATTTAGTGCTTAATTCTCAACATTAACCTGTCACTACTGTTAACAATGAATGATGTTAGCTTCCAGAAGAGAACTGAATAGACAACAGTGGGCGACTTTGGAACCATTGTGGTTTTGCATTCATGCTCCATTTAAAAAAAAAATGCCATTAAGGATCCATCTTTTTGTTGCTAATTAGATTTATGCAAAGGGCAGTGCTTCTCATCCTCGGAGTGGATGCAAACTACTTGGATGCCAGCTACAATAATTGCAGTGTTTATTGGGCATGTCCTTTAGTCTACTGCACAAAAGGGATGTCACCAAAATATTTCCTAGAGCAAGTGAACCAGAGGTCTGCAGTGACACCCTGGGCTTTCTGAACTGATGGGATACTGCATTACGGTGTCTGTAAAAATGATTCTCCTAATTTCGGAGTGATGCCCATTAGTGTTTTCTTAACTCAAGCCAACTTCTGCACTAACCTCTTCAGAAGAAGCCAGGAAGTGAACTTGTGCTTATTAATTATTGAGGACGATGTAAAATCTTTGCAGGCTGTCTCTCAAGTAGTCACATTGGGGGGGAATTGTCTAAGCCCTTTTCAAATCTCTGGAATATCCAGGTTATAACTGATATCAAAGCCATTCACTCTCTTAGTTCAAGTTGTCAAGCTGAAGTCAGGCTTCATTCAAAGTCAGACGCAGTCAAATGTTGCACTATTATCTCGATTAGAGAAATTATTTATTTGCCAAAAAAAGATGTGTGTTGTTTACACCACAAAACTAGTATGCCTTTAATTGCACAATCCAGCCAGGTCATTTGATTGTTGACCTAGGCTTTGAGTCTTTCTTATTTATTTACCTATTTATTGCATTATAAATTGCATCATTTAACACTAATTGTTTGCACTGATTTAAGATTAATGTAAATGTGTATAGGTTTCCCCACCATAATAATTTTCTTCTTCCATTCCCTGTTTTTGCTGTTGTTTTTCAAACATTGTCAAATGTTTTACCTCTAAACATTCTTTATGGTGTAAAGATTATATGTTCATTTGCCATTTGCTCCAAAGCGTATTTAGAAGACTACCTAATTAGGTTGTTCAATTTGCAACCTTAAACAGAATCGATTGTTTTTTAGAGGTTCTTTTCTGTTTATATTTCAGAACCAAATAACGACAGAAGGCACCATAATCTTGATATCTAAATTCTGTTTTCTTCAGCCTACAAAGCTTTTTAGGGCATTCAGAGATGCCTCTTTAAAGTCACTTGACCCTTTAACACTGTATTTGAGAGAATTCGACTTTATGCCCTTTATTTGTTTTCCCTAGGATTGTCCAAACACTGAAATATTTTAGAAATAAATTGCCATTGTGTTGTGTATATGTGCTCTATCTTTTGCTGTCTGCACTTCTGTAGAATCATCTGAAGTTTTTATTTAATTTATCCCCCTTATCCCACTTTCCCCTTCCTTTTTGTGTCTCTGGCTTACTTTAAACAGATGCGTGCTGGCCAACTCTCCCGAAAATTGTGGGGTTCAAGCAAACGGATCAGTCAGATTTCATCTGGAGAAACTGAATATAATACTCAAGATTCCATGTGATATCTGCTCCTATCATCTTTTGGGATTCATACATTTTTGTTTAATCTTCCAATCATACCTCCCAACGTTCTCAGTTATGTTGCAACTACAGCACAATTTCCACAGGCACATATGCATATTAGTATACAACATCTATTGTTTTTTGTGCTAAGTAGAAGCAATAAGCTAATTCAGTCCTTTTTAAACACATTGCGAGATTAGATAGATAGATAGGTAGGTAGGTAGGTAGGTAGGTAGTATGGACGTATATATGTGTGTGTGTTTTAAAATTAATGTTGACATGTTGACATAACTGACATATGAGAAAGCCAAAAAACTGGGGTAAATTTAATGACTATCAGCAATGTAAACTATTAAGACAGTCATTAAATTTACCTGTAATTACTGGACATGAATGTCAAAATCAGTAATTTGTGGCTATCCATTATAACATTATTCTGTACCCCCCTTTACATAACCTGCTGCTGTTTTGGCATAATAGAACTCAACAGTTTGTGTTCAAAGTGGCCTTTGGCCACTTTAGAGGTAGTTGCTGTGATGCCAAAAAAGAATTAGAGATCTAGTTTTTAAGTCCTCCTTGACAAAAGGGAGTCTTCTGGATCTTGGTTAATGTCTCTCTAAGTTATTTAACTATATAAATCAACACAACAATTATTTTTTTAAAAAATCCAATACCCTTTTAGTTCTTGGAAACGGAGTGAGAAATTTACTTAAACTCACTTATTTAAGGGGGGGGGGAATGGATGGCTGTCAATGCAAGTTGCTCTACTCAGAAGTCAGCTTTCTGAAATCTTTTGAACAGGTTGTGAATGGTTAATATATGAACATAAATGAGAAAAAAAAATAGAGGACCAATGGATGAGTTCTTAATTTTGGGGGATTCAGCACGGAAATTTCATCCTGCAGGGTATCTGATCCAGCATCATTAAATGGTAACTGAAACTATTTTTTTGCTGCTAAATATTAAATTTGAGCATTAAAACATGAATATACTCGATGCACACAAAAAATAGTTCTCCTGATTTTACATTTGCAATAGCAGGGAGAGGGAGATGCCATAAATAGGGCTAGATCAGTGTTTCTCAACCTTGGTAACTTGAAGATGTCCGGACTTCANCATCCGGTCACATGGGCGGCAAGCCACTCCCACAAAGGAGGCCACACCCACAGAGTAGGTTCAAACAATTTTTGAAACCCACCACTGGATTAGTCCTTCCCTATTCAGTTCCATGCCCTCATTCCAATGTAATACCCAGTGTCATGATCTCCAGGTAAGCACTAAGAGAGCAGAATCTCATCAGCATACAGCTTGGATAAGCCATCTTGAACATTCCCTGGCAAATTGAGGAATACATGGAATAATCACCTCTGGATGCTTAACTTAAAAAAAACCATAATATTTACAAAGAATAAGAGACTCAGAATAGACTCCTTAGAGAGTTTAACACAGCATCTTTTTAATATAGCTACAGTTTCTGAACAAGTACCAAAAGTTTGTTTCAGAATTACTTAACTACTGACTTATACTACCTCAAGAACTCGTTTTCTGATTGGCCGTATCAAATCATTGTCGTAAAGAGCTTTCAAAAGACGAAACGTGTTGCCACCACCTACAGAAAGAGAAAGTACTGTTTGATCAAGTTTATTCCTTTTGTTATTTGGTTCCCAATATACAATACATCCTACACATGTTCTTCTACCCAGAAGTAAATCCCACTAAGTTAAATCATACATGGCGTTTTTGGTCACTGCCAGAAGGGAGTCAGCCTATTCTCCAAAGCACCTGAGGGCAGGATAAAAAGTAACCGATGGAAGCTTATCAAAGAAAGATTCAAATTAGGCTTGCACCAAAGCACTGTCTTGCAGATACACATGAACTAAAAACCAATGTTAAGGACTTCTGAAGCATTTTGAAAAGTCTCTGTTTCTGCTATAACACTTAAAGAGCAGAAATACTTTATGTCTCTTTCCTATCCTACTACCTTTGCCTTTTTGTACCTTAACACAGGCTTATCAAGAAGATAATTTGGGCACATTATTTCAAGAGGTTAATATTTACCAATGAATATTGCCTCGGCATTGTTTACAGCTTCTCTTGGATCGCTTGATTCATGGATACTGTCTAGTCCGTAGCCTAAGAAAAAGACAAGAAGCTACATATAAATCAGGAGGAGACAATGTGCAGCGTAACAGAATTTGAAAGCAAGACGTTCTGTGGCTCAGAGACACTATAATGAATTCATGATCAAAAGATCTATCAGGAAATGGTGGTCTTTGGAGCAAGTTTCATACCTGTACAAAAAAACAGCAAGCTGAAGAAAGTGTGCTAAATAGCCTGGAATATTGTTGCGATGACCATCTAGAACCAATGAGCCAAGGTGGCGCAGTGGTTAAATGCAGCACTGCAGGCTACTGCTAGATCAGCAGGTCAGCGGTTCAAATCTCACCGGCTCAGGGTTNGCCAGTGCAGCTCGCGGAGGACAGGTGTAATGTGGGTGTACCTCGGTACACCCAATATCGCTCGCGCGGCCGCATTCTGGACTAGCTGTTGTCTCTGAACGCTTTTCAAGGGTAGCCCCATGTAGACTCTTGCACACTCTTGATAGGACTGTGGAATGCCTTTGTTGAAAAGACGGGGAAGTCACTGGCCATCCTTGAATTAATTCCCACATTGTGTTAAGCTGTAGCTTGCTTCCCCAAACACAACATACAGATATCAATAAAGGAAAATATTGGTAGCTCAGGTTTGATATAAGGGGTCCTTGGTGCTCTCATTACCCAAACTAGTAATGAGGCGTGACCGCCTCCTGCAACATACCTCCCAGCACCCAATAAGATCGCACAGGGCGGGCCTTCTCCGGGTACCGTCAGCTACGCAATGCCGTCTGGCGGTTCCCCAGGGGAGAGCCTTCTCTGTTGCTGCCCCGGCCCTTTGGAACGAGCTACCCCCTGAGATCCGGACCCTCCTCATTCTCCTGGCCTTCCGTAAGTCTGTTAAGACCTGGCTGTTTCAGCAGGCCTGGAGCTGTTGAGCTTGACTGAACTTCAGCCCCATTATAACTGAGTGCATGTTCTGTTTTCCTGTTTTAAATTGTATTGTTTTGTGTTTTTAATCTTCTTAATATTTAGATTGTTTTTATGTAACCCACCCAGAGTCCTTTGGGATTGAGCGGCATACAAATCTATTAAAATTCAAATTCAAATCAGCAGGACTACCACTGATTACCTAGTTTGGGTAAGGAAACCTCTACAAGGAAACAAGCAAGGTTGAAGTTTACCAAAGACCTCTGACCACCTATTGAACCGTAAATCCTTCTTTGTAAACCAGAGTGGTGAGAATTAAAAAAATATTAAAGAAATAAATTATGGCTTTGGTGGAGTTAGCTCATGGAAGGCTAACATTTAGCATGTAGTATGAAGCCATACACCTCAAGTCATATTCAAATTTCTACATTTTTAAATATTTATGTTTTGGACAAGGACTTTGTTTTGGAGCGTTGTAAGACAAGTTCTATTCCACTGTGGTGGAACAGTGATTAGAATGCAGTATTGCAGGCTAATTCTGCTGACTGCAGCAATTCAATTCTCACCACTCAAGGTTGACTTAACTTTTAATCCTTCCAAAGTCGGTAAAATGAGGACCAGGATTGTTGGGGGGGGGGCAATGTGCTGACTCTGTAAACCGCTTAGAGAGGGCTGCAAAGCACTGTGAAGCAGTCTATAAGTCTAAGTGCTATTGCTATTTAAATTTGGAGAGGTAAAATTCCACAAATCTGCAGTTTAGCAGATTGAAGGCGGCTTGTGAACCTGGATTCAGAGTTGCAGCTAAAGAGACCACTGGTTCATGATTCCCTTCATATTTTTGGTCAATATTTACCCAAACCAAGAATTTAGGGATAGGCAATTTTTAAGTGCATCTGGCTTTAGCATATATTATTTAGAATGATCAAATTAATCAAGATGGGAGGGAACAACCCCCCCCCCCGCCAAGAATTACTCACTAATACTGGAGGTGTATCTGGTTCTTCGTGGTACTGCATAATCCTTTTTTCACGAGTTTCCTAGAATAATAATGCAGCACTTTCAGATATTAGGAAGAGATCACAAAACTCTAAAGCAGTGTTTCTCCGTGACCCGTCAAAACCGCGTTCCACAAAAGCACGGTCGACGAAATTGCGTATGTGACGTCATCACAACGCGACGAAAA